AAAAAAAAAAACCCTCGACATTTTCCCGCCCGCTTGGTCAATTTTATCAAATATATTTATTTTTTAAGTAAGTGTTTAACGGCGCTCGCAACTGCATAAAGTCATAGGAGCGTGCGGTTCACATTTAACATTTTCAGTTGCTAGGAAATTTTAAATTTTGCCCAGATGGCGGCTGAATCCTCCTCTTATCGATTTTAGACTACCAAGGGATCTTTAACGTGCGGAACTTGCACACGGGACCTCCAAGATTTTTCGCCCTTGCTCAAGAAGGCTAGCTGTAGATCTTTCCTACCTGAAGATCAGGGGTGTGGCTGAGTGAGAAAGAACCAAGGAGTAGCAGTAGAAAGGCTGTAGAAAGAGTCAGTAACCAAGAGGAGATGGCAAAGGAGGTGAGGAGGGAGGGTGGAGGCAAAAAGGGGAGACGAAAGTAGATGTCAGAATATTACTAGAGAGCGGGAAAGGAGGTGAAAGGAGACAATTTTAGAGAACAACATTTTTCCGTCGCTACGCTACCCGGATTCGAACCCGGGACCTTCGAATGAGAAGCGAACATCTTAACCTCTAGGCCACGAGAGCCTCCTATCAACTTTTTTTTTCTTTTTTTGGCCCAGCATTTTTTATGTCAATGAATGAACAAATTTAATTTTCCTCCTGCATTTTACTAAAAAGAAAATGTTGAAAATGTAAAATTCCAGTTTCCAAGGACACTCAAGCTTTGAAAGCCACCAAACTTTTCCGGCAAATTTCTCGTTAATTTTACCGCTGACACCAGCCAACCCCCAACTCCTCCGATTACAAATAGCTCGACTTTTGTTTACGATGAATGCGCAATTCTTTTTTAAATCAGAAGAAAGACAACGCGCCTTCATATAATGTTAATAACTCTACATGCCCCCAAATCGACGAGCGCCTGGCTCCACCGTGTCGAGACATAATTGTGTTACGACGTGGTGGAATCAGGCGCTCGTCAATTTTGGGGTTTATAGATTTATTAACGTCATGTGAAAGCTAGTTCATTTGTTTTGCAATTGGCGAAAATCCCATCTATCTTGAATAGAAGTCAAGATATTTGCAATTGAAGGAGGTTCCCGTTACCTACTGGTATGAGAGGTCAATTTGGCGAGAAAAAGGCTGCCAAAGTTCGGTGATTTTCAAAGCCTGAGCGTCCATGGAGACTGGAAATGTACACTTATTGTGCCTTTAGTCAACGCTTGTCTGTCTGTAACATCCTCACAGACAAGAGTTTTTAAAGAACATAAAAAGTGATGAACCTCCCCCCCCCCCCCAAAAAAAAAAAGAAGAAAAAAAGGAAGTTCCAAAAAAAACAACTGCCCGACGTCCAGAAAAATACCGGTTTCCTTGATTTCACTGTTTTAACGAGTGCCTTATTTCACCACGCTGCCTCACAATCTAATTCTCAATACTGGTGTACTCGAAATATTCATAGATGTGTAACATAATATATCTGGGTCACTCTGTCACTCTTGCGTGCACCATACCATATCTGACTCAGTCTGAACCAAATGATGGACAGGGGGAAAGAGGGTGGGGG